GGACAGCAATTCTTTCCTTGGCTGTGTCTTGAGCGGGATAGCGTGCCTTGTATCTGCTCAAGGTATTCAACTTTTGTTTCTTGTACTGTTGCAAATACACCGAGAATGACACTTTCGTACACTTAATGTAGGCTGCTGCTTGATCAAGAGCTAATGGAAGACATCCTAATTCTGCAGCAAGCTCCTTAAGTGTTTCATCGTCTTTATCACTGCTTTTCTCTGTCCGCCGCTTTAGAAAATGAACGCTTTCATGTTCGGTAAGATTTCCCAAATGGATGCAGACTCAGAAATACATTTTAAAGCATCAGTAATCCTCTTGGCCTCGTCTTGTGTTGCTTTGAGATTTTCGAAATCGGAGGATAGCTGGGAAACTTCTTCTTCAACTAACTTTACCAAGTCTGCATCGACAATATGTCCCATGCAAACGTGCATCCCTGAATAATAAAGGTTTGAATCTCAAAATAATTAACTAAATAATGATTATTAGAAATAAAACTAGACTTAGGGATGCATCGCCACATTTCAAACGGTAATATACTCATCATCTGCATCATTTGGGATTCTCTCTTGTTCATATTTGCCTTTGCGTGGGTTTTCTTCCAGTGAGTCTCCTCTCGCAGCCGTTATGAGGCTCGTTCCTAGTCTCACCCTTAACTTGGGGAACGACTGCCTCATAACGGCTGCGAGAAGGGGTGTGCACCCAATTTAATGTACCACACTGCTTTTAAAAGAGTCAGTAAATTTCAAAAGTATAGCGAGCATGCTCTCAGTAATGACAGAATTAATACGAGTTCGTTTCTTTTTCGGGTCAAATTGCTTTGTGTGACTTAAACATGTACCGTTGACTTGAGGAGACAAGCATGCAATCCCATATCAGTGCKAACATTTTTAGAATATAAGGATTTTAGTCTTAATGGAGGGTTGCAGGTCCACAAAAACAGTCATGAAGTATAGGCATATATACACCCTTTTAATAAGTCCCGAGGTATCGAGTTCTCCGCAATTGACGTCAAATTTATTCTTTTGAAATTTTTACAATACAAAAGGAATTCAAAAGAATAAATTTGACGTCMAGTGCGGRRAWHACAATACCTCGGGACTTATTAAAAGGGTGTATATACGACATATCCTAAGGGTGCATGCAACAAGAACTCGTGAGGGGCATACACAYCAGCTGTATCAGCCACGGTATAATATTGTTAATAAACAAATGAATTATGATGAAAGGAACCATTATATACAGAGAATGGAAACTCCTCGAATCGTTCGTACCTTTTGTTTCCCAGTCACTCAGATCGTCTATCAATCTTTTCTGTTCTGTAGGTGTTAAAGGGAGTGATCGTACTAGTGAATCCATTAACTGAAAACTCTTKGAGAACTTCACAGCAGTCCATTTGCTAAAGTTGCAATGACCCCATTCATTCCGTACGCCCTGCCTCAAGTCTTTGGACATCTTCGGAATGGGATGTACAAATACGCTTGCCGATGACAAAATTCCGAGGACAGCTGACAAATCACAAGTATCGTCAAATCCTGTATAGAAAACAAAACAAAAGCTCAAACATANACTATTCCATGGATGCAGCTCTAATTACTGTCATTCATGTCATGAGTTCGTGCATACAGGTGAAGTGTGTTAATCATTCTGTTTTTGACTGATCAAAATAGAAAGAAATAAAACAGCTTTTACGGACAATTTTCACTAAAGAAACTGTCAGCCATTTATATTTGGTATTAAAACGTAAGAAACATTGACATTATTATCGCTCATGACATCGTAATTTTTGTTTGGGAAAAAAACTTACTATATAACAAAAAAAAAGACAGAAAAGAGGAAAGTAGAGGAGGTTAAAAAAGGGAAGAAAAATAAGATGAAAAACAAAATMAGAGAAAAGAAAAAGAGCAAGACATACTGAGATAGACATTCAATAAAAAAATCAAACTGAAGCGGAAACAGGAGTCATTGAATGATTCAACATTTTACTCTATTAGTAATAACTATTACTACATGGATATCTTAAAAGACAACAATTAACTTTGATAATTATAATGCCTTAGAATTTTAGTAAATCAACTGTTTTTATGAAGCATCTATTGCACATGAATAAATATAGTCGAGACCATTCCGTCTTAATTAGTATTGCTTGCTAGAATAATGTAGCATAATGCTAAACATGTATAAACCATAAATATCACTTATTCATTGACTTAAAATAAATCGAGATAAAATACACTACACTACCGTTTTACATATCTCACAAATTACAACTGGTTTGTCATTTTAACATCTACTTCTCTTTTTTCTTGTTTTTCTGAAGTTTGAATTGCATATGAAGATAAATATATATAGTCACAGCCTTAGTATTGCTTGCTAGAATAATATAGCTACATTAGTTCAAATCTATAAACCATAAATATCACTTGTACACCATGGAATTATTGACTTATAATTAATCGAGATAAATCGCACTA